GATTAGTGCATAACACTTTTAACATCATGTCTATTTTAGTCATTATTCACAGTTACAACAATTTTATATTAAAATTTACCAAACGGTTTTAACACTGCTTTTTGTACTAACAGCACTTTAAAAATAGTGTTTACCAAACATGGAGCTGCTTTACTTTACAGCTAATTATTTTTAAAGCACAGCAGAAGCAACTTTTTTTAAAAGTGACAGCAATCCCAAACTAGGCCTTAATCTGTAAGGTAAACAGGCGTAAAGCAAAGACAAAACTTAATTTTGTGAAGCTGTAAGCAAACACTAGTGTTTGTGTCCATGGCTTTCAGTCAGTCATCCTCATCATCCTATGACTCTTCCTCTTACTCTTCCTCTTCGTCTTTTGATGAAGATCACCAATCTGATTCATACGATGATGAACCGGAGGATGAACAACTTGCACCTGATTCACAAGAGTCGCCTACCTTGGTTGGATCCGACACCGAATACAGATGCGAATCGGAGCCTGATTCAGAGGCCGACTCTGCCAAAAAGACCAAGACCAAGACCAAGTCCAACACCAAGACCAAAACCAATACCAATGTTGAGGCAAAATCCAAAAACAAATCGCCTTCGCCTACCGCCGTTGTAAATAAGAAACGGCCCCGGGAGAAGCCAGAGGAAAAGGCCTGTGATGCCTCCAACGAGAAGAGGAAGAAGGCAGAAAATGAAACAAATCTCCAAACTGGTGGTGATGATGCTATGGAGAAGGACAAGGAGATGAAGAAGAAGAAGAAGAACAAGTCGAGGTCGTCTTCGTCTGCTGCTGCTAATGCGAGAGTATGGAGCGAAAGGGATGAGCTTGTTATGGTGAAAGGTATTATCTCATTTCTGAAAAAGTTCTCGACATTTGACGGAAAAAAGTTCTACAATTGGATCAACAAGTACATTGAAGCGGACGTGTCAAGAGGTCAAATAGCAGATAAAGTGTGTCGATTGAAGAAGAAATATCGTAACAACGAAGCGAACCGCGGGCCAAATGGGGAGGATCCTGTCTTCTCAAAGCCTCATGAGCAGAAATTGTTTGACCTATCAAAACTAGCATGGGGGAGTATTAGTTGTACCACTAATCATAATAATACTAATGCTGATATTATTGATGGTGTAGTTGAAGAAGGTGCTGATGCTGAGAAAAAGGCAACGGATGATGTTGACGATGCTGAGAAAAAGGCAACGGATGTTGTTGACGATGCTCAGAAAAAGGCAACGGATGATGATATTTTGCAGGAGAAGGAAGTATTGTTTGACGATAATCTAGTTATTGAAGCTTTTGATAAGTATTTAACAAGTCGTGGCTTAGATTTGAGGTGGTTTGGTCAAGACAAATTAGAGAGCTTGGAGAACAAGTGGAGAAAAATCAGAGTTGCTGAATCTACTTTTCGCTTACTGCAAGCCAAGTTTGATGCAAAGTTGCATCAAATAGCGCTACATGCTTACAACTTCTTTGATTATTAGTCTGCATTTCTTTTTCCTTAAGCTTTTATTTTGGTTATTAGAATGTGTTTTTGAATATTCGGTCTATTGTCTGGGAGTTTTCATGGTTCATACCTACATTTAGGTTTTTAACCTATTTGATGAGTCCTTTTGAATGAGGAATATATGTATGCTGGTATAATTAAAGTTCGCAGTGCAGTAGAATTATTATTCTTGATGCCTTCTTAGACGATGAATGTAATCAGAATTGGTTTATGCCCCTTTTCTAGTAGTTTTGCTTCATTAATAAAGTTTTCCTCGTACTGTCTGTCGGGGTTCGTAAAAGTGCAAAGAACGCTTGCAGACATTATGCTGAAAGGCCCTCGAGCTTGCAATGGGGCAGCTCACTCCATCCTATTCAGAATATAATAAAAATCTGCTCATATCTTGATTCTGGGGGCATGATTTGAGACTTTACATTATCTTTGGTTATGATGTATCCTTTGTAGGTTTGATAAGACATCAGTTTATCATAATTCATATTCTCAGTTTTGTTATGTTGTTGCTTGGACGTTTGTTTTGTTTGCTCAAGGATTTGATCTTTATGGTTCTCAAAAGAATCAATGGTCCTAAGATAATAAAACATTTTGTAGTAAATTCTTAATCTAACATCACTCTCTCTTTTACTTTGTTTCAAACCACATTACAAAATCTCCAAAATTAAGTAAAAACAAACCCATGATCTCATCCATCCGGACTCATACGAGGAGATCTGTTATCCCATTGTGATCATGTTCTTTAATTCTTCCTGTCGCAGTTTGTGTGGCAGGTTTCCACTGTCTTTCACAAGAAATGCATCTGCATGGTTAAAATGACTACACTTATTGTTATTCCACAAAGTCTTCTCGGATGCTGGTGGTTTCGTTTCGTCAGCCTCCATGGCTACTGAAATCTTCAAAACTCACGATCTCACTTTTGCTGACAAATTGCCGGAAACTTGGGATTCTTTGCCACCCCATATGGTGACTATTGGAGGTTCATGAAGAAGCTTTGCAAGACTGAACTGCTCTCACCCAAGCAAATAGAAAGGTCGCGTGCCATTTGTCATGCAGAGGTTGCAAAGTTTTTGAGGAAAATGTTGGAGAGTGCTACGAGGAAAGAGATGGTTGATGTGGGTGCTGAGCTGATGAGGCTTACAAACAACAGTATATGCAGGCATGCTCTAAAATTAATTTGATATGTTCTTTGAAATTTTCTCCAATATTTCTATTTCTCACAAGTGCCTGTTTAATAGCAGGATGGCTATGAGCACTAGTTGTTCAGAAAATGGTGAGGAAGCTGAAAAAATCAGGGAGTTGGTAAAAGAATCATATGAGTTGGCTGCAAGGGTTTGTTTTGGGGATGTGTTGGGTGCACTGAAGAGGTTGGATTCTGGGTTTATGGGAAGCAGCTCATGGATGTGACCATGGCGTATGATAAAATTTTGGAGTGGATGCTGAAGCAGCATGAAGAGAGAGCAGAGAGAGAGGGTTGGGATAGAGAAGATAAAGATTTGATGGATAAACCATTGAAGGCCTATCAAGATGATAAAGCCGAGGTCAAGATTTCCAGAACTCATGTGAAGTCTTTCTTGCTTGTAAGCGATTTCAATCCTTTCCATTTTCAAACCACATCTTGTTTCTGATCAATTCATAATTTACCATTATGTTAGGATCTTTTCATCGGAGGTACTGCTACCACAGCAGAGGCCATGCAATGGGCAGTAGCTGAGCTCATCAACCATCCCAACATATTCAACACGCTCAGGGTGGAGATAAAATCGGTTGTTGGTTGTAGACTAGTTGAGGAATCGGATGTTGGAAACCTCCCCTACTTGCAGGCAGTGATAAAAGAAACACTAAGATTACACCCACCAGTGCCTTTGTCAACAAGAGAGAGCCGCCAAGCTTGTAAAATAAAAGAGTTTGATATACCAGAAAAGACTGCAGTAGCAATCAACCAGTATGCAATAATGAGAGATCCAGAGTTATGGGACAATCCAGATGACTTTAGGCCAGAGAGGTTTTTGTCTCCTGAAGAGAAAGCAGATGGGGAAATGAATCAGAATGAGACCAGAGGACAGAATTTTCAATATGTTCCATTCGGATCGGGAAGGAGAAGGTGTCCTGGCTCGAATTTGGCAACCATCTTGTTGAATACTTCAATTGCTTCCATGGTTCAATGCTTTGATTGGAAAGTCGGAGATGGAAATGAGGGTAAGGTTAATATGCAAGTTGGCGCAGGCATGTCTTTGCCCACGGCTCACCAACTTATACTTTTACCTGTTGATCACTTCAACCCATTTGCTTCTTCAACATAGTTCTATGTAAACTAGCATGTGGGTTATACAAAACAAACTTGTGCTAAGAATAAAGGCAAGCTATATAGGTATTGGTGTTACTCAGTACAAGATAACGAAATTTGATCATAGACTTCTTACATGCCACTCTGTGTTTAGTATGCCATTGCGAAAAGCATAATGTGTTCTCAAAAATGATTTCTCTAAAATGTAAGTCTGGATCCTAGCATAAGTGGTTTTATTTTCAAGAAATTGAGATACAATTGGAAGACAAAATTTCTTAATTTCTCCCCGACTCCTATTCTCGTTCACAAAGTTCACGTGTGCATAACTAGTAACTACTCCAATTGACCAATTCTTGATTAATAGCAAAGGCAAGACTACAGACATAATTAACTGGAATTATCATCAAATAGACTCAAGTTGTACAGTTGAATTTTTGACATTGCAACAATGCATTACAACAATCACAACTAACAGAAGAATAATTTGAAGTCCAGGATGTCCAGGGTAAACGTCCAAGTTGAATGGATCTCATCTTTCATTACAATTGACATGTAAATTGTACAACCTCAAGGTTGAACAGCCTCCAGAAGTTTCTCATATACTTGCCTAGCAGACAAATCCTCCACCTGCAATAATCACCAAATGATAATGAAGAAGGCCAACCAAGATCAGCTTAAGGAGTTTCTTTGTTAAATTGGCATCACAACTCATACACAATTCAGGGGTCTATTGCATACATAGCTTCTATCAGGATGCCGCCCAAGTGAGGTTCCCTAAATGAATTGTAGTTGCTCTTATTTTATAAGCAGTCGAATAAATTAGATAAGGAAGAAATATCATGTCTTGTTTTTATCTATGTTGCCAAAGTAGAAATGTTTGTGCAACAATATAGTAAATCGGGGAATAGTGCATGGCAGCAAAATTATTGTATACAATGCTCTGAATTTTTTTATAACGAAAATGATAATGTTCTCCTTAACATAGGCACATTTGAAACAGAATATGATACACCCAAGCTACCACCAACACCCACACCCATGTGAGAGAGAGAGAGAGAGAGAGAGAGAGAGAGAGAGAAAGAGAGAGAGAGAGTAAAACTTGTTTAACTCACCACAAGGAGTTTCGATTTATTATTCCACCCTCTCTGAAGAGTCATCTGGCTTAGTCTCAGACCCAACACCTGTGTAAAAAGCAAGTATTAGATTTACACGGTCGAAAAGATTGGCTTCTTAGGTTAAACAGCCTAAGATGAAACAGAATCATACTTTGCCCATGAACTCCAAGAGTTCATTGTTTGCTTCTCCTCGAGCTGCAGGTGCAGCTACAGTAACTCTAACATCATCAGCATTCACTCCTGTCATAAGAGAAAAAAGTGGGAACATGAAATTTATGTCAAGGAACCAATAATTTAAAATATAATCAGTCATTTAAATTTCTGGTAAAAAAAAAAAAACTTTTTTTTTGGCGAAGCGAACACAGCCCTCGTAGAGGATATATAGATATCAAACTTAAAAGTCAGCAAGGACTAGTGCTCAGCACACACGAAATCCAAAAAAATCAAAAGAAGTATATGCACGAATTGACTTATGATTTCCATTCGAACTAACGAGTTGCAGGCTAAAAATATGACAGAAATACACTAAAAATTTCTTTTACTTGTGATTGCTGACCGTTGTGCACGGTCTTCCACTTCTATAGCCACTTGAACGAGTCCCCCATCTAGGTTTGAAATGCAGGGTGGCACAGGAGCATCCTACATCACATATCAGACTACCATGCTCAAGCAGAGACAAACTTTCTTAATCGTTTCCCAAAATGTTTACAACCCAACAGATGGATACAATGAGAAATAAGCTCCTATTTCCCTTAATTTATAAGAAGGAACCCAATTTCTGAATGCAAACTAAATATGAGAATGCGAGATAGTTTTTTTCACAATCAAGTCAACAGATGATGACACAAAGCCTTTATAAACTACCTTATACCTGTGGGTTGGTTTCAGCAGCAACTGTGCTTAGAGCACCATCAACAACATAAATGAAAGAAGCACCTTCCAAATCTTCTTCTGAGCGATAGAAAACAAAGAGTCCACAACCCACACAGTTCATACGAAATTGCTTCTCCATTTTCCCCTCACCCCTGGATTAATAACGATCAAGATTTCAAAATATGAACTACGATGATACTATCACATAATAATTGTACTTGAAAAAAAATCATTAAACTCTATCTTGATTGAAGAACATAATGCACTGATGACAGGACAATCTCAAGGAAGAACATACGTATGAAAAGGTGCAGAACCAAATAGTTTCTCAGAAACTGTCAGACAAACTGAGGTACAAGAAACTGAAGGCAGGTGATCAGCCACTGTTAAACAGAGAGTGTCATCCAGTCCAGTATACAACACACATCAGTAAACACCCAATTGTTTTCTTCTTCTTACAAACTGTATAACACTAAAGATATCATACTTTCAATAGAAGAAGAAAAAGAACCTTTTCAATACAACTTTTCCAGCCTCAGCAATGTTAAGCCTTGCAAGATGTTTGCTCTTGTCCAACACATAAGCTTTGTCAGTCTTCCTTTTGGGCATTTTCTGCAACTGGGTATCTTATACAACACACATTTCAGTATAATATAAACTGCTTGCCCAAAAATATTATTCAACAAACTCTCTTTTAACAACCATTATGAA